ACACTTACACTCCATAGCTTATGTATTGAACAGTGCCATTTATACTACGCTTGTGTTTTACTAGTAGCAAAGAGGTAAATCTTACACCATTAGGGGCGTTACAGTTGTCATCAGCCTCCAGTAAGAATTTTAGGCACTCGGTTGAGCGGCCATTTCCCATAGCGGCTGAGATCCAATCTGAGTTGATAACAGCATCAGCCTGTCACATAAAAGGAATGTCACATTTCCTTTATGGTGAATGACTAAAGTTGAAGATTTCCAAACTTAAGTGTTGGAAATATATTGAATTGAAGTAAACAAACCCAGCGCAATGCTTGGACTTGACAATGCTAAGACAAACATGCAATACCCCAACAAGGAGCTTCACGCATTGTACTAATGAAACATTTACAGCCTGAAAAAGGGGTGTCATAGGATACAGTCTATGTCTTGTTGCACTAGTGAGAGATGTGAATCATATTAGTTCCAATTAATTAATTATAATAACTGGATAGAGAAAATATTAAACAGAACAGTAAATATACATAACCATATATCTATGACAAGCTTTCGCAAAAAAGAAGGAAACAGCTCCCATTACGTTGCAATTAGCGAAACAACTAAGTACAATATTGCAATAGCTGCCTTTTTTGTTGGAATTTGTAAAATAAACTAGTGCAATGTTGCAAGGCTATCAAAGTTTTCTTGTTTGACTGATGATACTATACATAACTTACATCTGAATGGCAGACATGATAGAAAATCAATCATTATGGCAAGTGCACAAAAGGGTGCACCCAGAGGAAATTGTCCAACACATGCAATTGGCACTTTGCAAACTATTCATACATAAAAGCATGTATAGTAGACTTCCACTGAAAAACAATAGTGGTTATTCCAATAGAACATTAAACATTGCTCTTGCATAAGAATGGAGACTATAAGCTACGGCCGAGACTAGCTTTGAGACCACAGTGTTATGGATTTAAACAAAAGTAATGAAGTATTTATGAATCTTGTAAAAGTTGCTACCAAGGATATCTTGAAAAATAAGTGAATAACATATAACTTGAAACTTAGACAACTAAACTAGAAGCAGTAGGGAATAAAGAAATAGCAAACATTTGCAGGTTCGATTGTGCTGCAAAGAGCCATGATTACATCTTAACTTACATAGCAGCACAAAAAAAAAGCCTTCAAGGGAGTAAAGTACCAAACAATAAATTAGAATGGAGCATGAGAACAATACAGAAAACGAACAAATGGAGAAAAGGCAAACAATTCAAACTTATTTGTGTTTACACGTGAACATGCAACTTAAGGCAGAAGTAGCATGAAGTTAAGCTTACATCTGCATTATGGTCCAATAAGCACCGACTTTCCATTGCTTAGTAGCAAGATACAGTGGCGTTCCAATCTCATCAGCTATCGGGTCAACATAAGCTCCCTTTGCAAGCAACATCTCTACCATTTCACAGTCTCCTGCATAAAATACAAATTGCCATGGAATGAGGTCAAATAAACCCTGGTAAGAACATAATACCGCCACAAAATATATTAGAAACAAAAATAAAAAGGAAAAAGGAAAACTGTGGTGCACACGTGCAAAACAGAGATACATATTAACAGAGAGAACCTATTCCAGCAGCAGAATGTAGAGGGGTTAGCCCGATATCATCACTTTTGTCTGGATCAGCACCATGATCAAGAAGAAACTTGACAACTGCAGCATTTTCACAGATCACCGCATAAGCCAGAGGTGTCATGCCTGCCAAGTTTGACATTTAGAAATATGGTTATCAAGATTACAGAGTATGGAACCACAGATACACGAAATTCAGGTATCACATTCACATTGTAGAATGTGGAAGTGCCTCAGGCAATGTTTGGCAAACGGGACTAACTACTCTGTTTTCCAAAAAAATTAACAGTCCCATAAAACTTCAGTTTCAGTCCCTGTGAGATGAAATTGCAGTATTAATTAATAGCACCAATGAATCCCTCGAGGCATTTTCATCGTTATCCAAAAAGAAAAGAAAAAATCCCCCTCAATCAGTTACTACATGTTTGCGTCTCATAGGCACTGATTCAATGTTGAACATGGCCTATTTTGATGAACGAGGATAACATAACGAGACAGTGAGGAGGAGACACAAAACAACCCCTGTCCTGTGAACTCTGAACTCATCAGTCAATCATATCTGGAACCTATACAGATCTTGTGAACTATGCACGGCAGCCAAGACACTGGTTCAGCATCGCACAGCAAACGACATGGCACATGGCGATTTCCCTAATAAAACAGAAAACAGAGCACGTCGCCTGAAAGATAGACAGGGAGCGGGCATTTGGAAGAGAGGAACGGACCCTCGTCATCGGCGGCGTCCACATCCACGCCCAGCTACTCGGCCAGGTAGCCGCACACCTCCAGCTGCCCGTTGCCGGCGGCGAGGTGCAGCGGCCCGACCCCGTCCTCCCTGGCCGCCTCCGCCGCCTCCCTGGGGCGGCCCCTGCCGTTATCCAGCGCACGCACCAGCCCTGCAACCGCGTGCCCCCCGAAAAAAATCAGAACTCGGGAGAAGGGCCGAAATCGGGAGGGAGGGGCTCACTCTTGAGGAGGCGGAGCTCGCCGCTGTACGCCGCCTGGAGGAGCGCGTGCCGCGTCGAAAAGAGGCCTTCCGCGGCTGCAGAGAGGGGAAGTGAGCGAGCGGATTTAGCTAGGGTTCGGGGCGCAGGGAGGCGCTTACCGCCGGCGGCGGAGGGGAAGCGGGGTGGCGCCGCCATGGCGGATCGGTCGGTCCGGGAGCGAGATGGGTGGAGTGGTAGGGTTTTGGGGATGGGCAAGAGGGGGGAAAGAGGGTTTGATTTGAAAGTTGAAATTTGAAATCCCGATCCAGGGCTAAGTCTCCCCATACAAAGGATTTACTCCCTTCTTTTATATTTATTCATTAGGCATATTTAATCTGACTGAAGTCAAATTTTATAATGTTTGACTTAATTCGTAGAAAACAATATGAATATTTATAGTAACAAATTTATATGATGTGAAAATATATTCAATGATGAATCTAATGATATTGACTTTTATGGTGCGTATATTATTACTTTTATTATCATTATATTATTACAAAGTAGATAAAAGAAACATCCACTCCATCTGCCACTGACTCGGTCTATGCATTCCTGCTACTTTTCTTCACCAAACTAAAAGAAAATATAAAGCAAAAGAGAGCAGCTGGAAATGGCAAAAGTGCCCCCAAGCCTCTCCGTCGATCAAGTACGAATGGAGAAGCTCTTGTAGTGTTTTTTTTCGTGGTAATATGTGTCTCACTTATATCATAAGGAGCATAGTACAAGCCACGTACATACTGACCTGACAAAACTGAAAAGACAGCAGAACGCTAGTCTTTGCACACAGGAACATCAGCCAAGAAGTAAAATTACAAACAAGACTGAAGAATCCTATGAGCTTGACACCAATGCCCGTCACCTGCCTCTAGAACCACCATAGCAGCCACCAAAGGAGAACATGACGAATCACCTCCACACCCGAGCTCGACGCAGCTCCATCACTGATATGCAGCTTTGCGGACCTCCAAGGTGGCTCGCCAATAAAGGCGAAGCCATTGCCCTTGAACGAATCAGACCGGGGCAACACCCCGGACACGCCATCGAACTCCAGATCTGGCACCCCCGCCCAACTAAGATGTTGGAGAAGGAAACCACACCTGCCTGCCACGAACCACGAACCCAGATCCACCATCTTCCAGATGCCGTCGATGCAGACTACAATCTGCATCCGCTCCTGGACTACCTCCCAAGCTCCACACTGGTGCTGGAGCAAACGTCGGCGCAACGGCGGAGCTCGAGGACACAGGTCCACCACGAGGATGCCACCGCCGCCGCACCATCCTTGCTTGAACAATCTGGTTTCCAAATCCACCCCAAAAGCGGATCACCTCGTTGGTGAAGGGTTTGAAGATTTATTAGTCGGTGCCGTCATCGCCACTACCGAAGCCATGACGATGAACAACCCAAAATTCTAAGAAACTAATGCCTAAAAATACTCCACATGCGTGGATCCGGCGACCCACCCCCTCACCACCGACAACCGAGGTCGTCAACGAAGGGGAGCCGCCGGAGGATGGTGGCGGCGAAAGACGCCCTAGCGGCAGGAGGCGAGATCGTCTTTCTTTTCTTCTCCTGGAAGAAAGAAAGCGCTGCGTACAGACCCCTGCCGCTCTTACAGAGTGTTTGGGTAATTCATAGAAAAGGGATGGGAATTTACAAACAGAATACGGCTCGAGAAATTGATAATTAGTCTCAAATTTAAAATCTTGTGTGTGGTAAGAATTAGTTGTAGAAATTTGTGTCGCACGTGTTATCACAGAGAGACCAACGAAGAGATGTGAGAATTGACCGTATTAACTTTCTTTCTTCTTTCCTCCTCAACTCAATTGCCTCCCAACCAAACAATGGATTACCCAAACACTCTGTTTTTGCAACATGCATTCCTATCATATTCCTACATTTTTAGAATATTGCAAGGCAAAAAAAAGGCCCTAAAGATAGGTGGCAATGTATACAGTGCCAGTCTACCTTAACCATTGGTGGTTTTTCTTTCTTTTGGAAACTGAAGATCCATTGAGTTTTTTACAGCAAGGTCCATCAATGTTTGCTTAACTTGGTACGTTAAAAGATTATTAAGCAAGAAACGATTGAGGCCTCTGCTGGAGGAAAGTCTAATTGCAAATTTGACACTGAAACGTGTACACATCCACTCCTGCCACTGGCTCTCCTACTACTCGCCTTCATCAGAGTGAAAGGAATACTCCCTGTGTCTCAAAATGTAAGACCTTTTTTGGCACTACGACGGAGTAGGAAACACAAGAGCAGAGGCAGAGTATATGGAAATTACAAAAGTGCCCCAGCCTTCCATCGATCCGTAGCGCTACTTCGGTCCGCATCCTGGTTCACCGAGTTAATATATTGATGAAACAACAAGGGCAATTCCATACTATTCAAGTAGCCATTGTTGCGCCACGGGATGTCTTCAAGGAATTCATAGCCTCCCTGCACGTTTAATTCCAACACCAACTCTATATCAGAATCATTATAATTTTGGGAAAATCAGGCTTAGTCTTTTCAATGCATGACTACATTTTCAACATATAAATGCATGCAACGCGTAAATCTCCTTGGACTGTATGTAGATCAAGGTCCTTGGACTCTGATATGACAAGTCATGGTGAAAGTCATGTTCTGCTCTCGAGCTCATTTGAGCTCACGATGAACAGTAAAAATGAAAACAAGATCAAAAAATTCCAAAAAAAAAATTTAATGGACTTCGACAAATGTTTTAAGTGCTTGCAAACTTTCATGACGAAATCACATTCACGGTAGTCATGGCAAAAAAAATCAGCACTTCAAAATGGTTTCGAAAATAATACTTTTGGAGCATCGATTTTTCTTTTTTGTCATGACTTCCACGAATGTGATTCTTTGATGAATTTTTGTAAGCACTGAAAACTTTTGTTAATGTTTGCACCAGAAAATATTCAGATTTTTTTTTGGAATTTACTGTTCACCCGAGCTCATTTGAGCTCGAGCTCAAAAACTCTGCGTCCAAGTTATGGGTGAAACTGGAACGTACCGCAACACAGCCTCAATGTCAGGACTCCACGGGTCCAACTTGGCTGCCTCCAGAAAAGCATTGCATGCACTCTCGTAATCCTGATGATGATGCAATTTAAGGCAAAAAAGAATAGATGAAATGCGGCGACAATCAATAGAATATTAGACAACCAGATAGATATCTTTGATCACACCTTCAATAACATGAGCGCTGCCCCCAGCCGATACCAGCCCTTTGGCCAGCCAGGCCGCATTTCACTGCACGCAAGAGCATCCCGCAAAGCCTTGTGCCCGTCGCCCATGCGGAGAAAGCAAAGGCTTCTGTTCGATAACAAGGTAGCGTCATGACGGTCATGCTTCATTGCCTGCATCCAACAGGATGAGCCCAAAGTTAGCACATACTCCGTCTCATTATATAATAACATTAATCACGTCTTGATAAGACGTGCTTGTAACTCTTTTCTAGTTCACAAAGGCAACAAATAACACCTTGACTTTCTGATGAATTAGAAGTTTAGAACTTATAGCGGTCAGGACAATATGGTCAACTCAAGCAAATTTCCTTATAGCAGCAATTCAAGTACTCCCTCCGTAAAGAAATATATGAGCATCTAGATGACTACTTTAGTGATCTAAACACTCTTATGTTTCTTTACAGAGGGAGTATGAAATAGGACAATGTTGAAGTGAAGACAATCGTCAAACTCGTTCAAGATATAGTATATGCAAATAATTTTCCACTCTTCCTTGAGTAGAGACATCAGAGTCCAAACCCACAGCCCAGAAATCAACAACTGTTGTTTAAGGGCACATGCAAGTGCTTGTCAGGTACTCACAATCAAACTTACTAGCATTATGAAAATAAAAATTGTCTTCATCAATAAATTAAAGAGAGATGCATCTCAAAGTAAAGCGTGATGCGAACTGTACTTGTCAGTTGCAAAGAGATGATCACTCTCTTAAAGGGAGCATGTATGACAAGAATGATGTGAGACCAGATCCCGTCACCTAACATCTTTCAAGCAACAGGTATAAAATTTGAATGATCACCCTAAATAAGGTGTAGTAGCATACCACACTGTACAGTGTTGCCGCAGAAAAATAATCGTTTCTCTTGAGAGAATTAACCGCAAGTGACTTCAACTCTGCCATTCTTCTTACATTTGAATGATCACCCTAAATGGTCAAGCAAAAAAAAGGAATTGAGACTCAGGAATGCCAGTATAAAGCAGTACATATATACTCCCTCTGTCCCAAAATAAGTATCTCAATTTTGTACTAGCTCTAGTATAAATTTGTACTAAGCTTAAGACACTTATTTTTGGACGGAGGGAGTACTATTGAAATTTTAAAAGGAGGTGCTTGGCTGGTGCGGCTGCTCAGAAACAGTGTGTTGCTGCCATAAAAGAGTAGCAGAACAGCCATGTTTGATTTCAGAAAGATCTTGATCCTTGTCTTGCTCCTGATAGTACACAGAAATTTTTATTTCGAGAACTCATGATATCTCCTACCATCTGATCAGTGCAACAAAATTATCCACATCTAAACCTTTGTATAACAAATTATGTAATTGGGGTCCGGCAGTCCTCTAGCTGGATCTGCACTGCACTGGTCATCAACCTTTTTTTCCCCTTAATGCATAAGTACAGAGTTCTCCTGCGTATTCTAGAACTAATCTCTTCCATTAAAGGTGCTCAACATAGGGTTGTGTGGCGTCTGTTTGCTGCCCAGGGTTGGGTGCTGTGGTTTTCGCGTAACAAGCTTGTGATTGAACGCAGAATCCTCGGTCAGACTGCCAACTACATTTTTAAATGCATAACTTTCTTTCAGCTTTGGCTCCTGGTGGGGAAGGAGAAGGACAGGGCACTAGCAGCAGCTGCTTTAGCAAAGCTTAGAGATCTACACCACAGGCTGCCACGGGCGAGCTCCCGGGGGGCCTCCTAGTGATCCATGATGGCATCGTCTCTGCTTGTTTCTACTGTTGAACCTTTTTAGTCTGTGCTCCTTAACTTCATTTGTAAGCTGGTATCCCCAGTACTTTTATGTTCAGAACTAGTGTTGTAAGACTTGGTTGGTCCTGTTTAGGCTTTATATTATAAAGTCGGGCGCTTCTTGCGCCTCCGTTCCAAAAAATATCTCATAAGCCCTATCAGGCCATCACCTCCGACCAAAGAGTCTTTTAAAAGATTATCAATAGCATGTACAAAATTTGTGTTCATCGATCAAAAGACGAAAGAAACATGGCTAATTTTGTGTATGGTAATTCTAACCGAGAAACTATGAATTCAAAGTTGATGCCAAATTTAAACTAGAAGATATATGAACTAAACAGGGTCCAGTGAATACCTGCTTCATAGACGCTGACTTTGCATGGTGTATTATTCCGTCGATGCTCCAATCATGCACAGTTGGAATACAATAAGTCACAGGAAATAAGATCTCAATGTCTTCCCTTGAACCATCCAGTGCAGCAATTTCTATTGGCATCCTACCAAACTGTTATAAACAAAGTTTAACTTCAGAAAATCACTTCCGGGAACGCTAGGGAAATGGAAACGAAGGAGGCAAGAGTTTATCTTACTATATCATTAGTAAGATAAAAAATGGTTTAGATAATTTATAAAAATGAGAACTAATTAATAGAATGACCATCAAAGAACCGTGTTTGCCATTTACACTCCAAACCCCTTCCTTCTAGCATCCCCATTTTCAGACTGCAACCTGACAGCCCTGATTCGACTCGAAGCAAGATTCTAAGTTGTCTTGTTTACAAATCTTCCTTCGGCAATGACATCGAGTCTAAACATTGGTACAGTGTAATCTTGTAAATGCACAACTAACTCCTACACGATATGAAGAAATTCAAAAAATGGTAAAACAATGTCAACTTAGCGATACTTACGACATTATTGAAGAGCTACATGATAAAAGAAATCAAAGAATTACATGATTAAAGATATTTATATACTAGAGATGTCAAGTAATAGATAGAACAGACCTGACAAGAAATGAAAATGCCAGCACCTCATTGGTTCTAGTGCAGTTCAGAAAGGTGAGTGTGTGCATTTGTCAGGATGTATTAAGATCATGTAAATATTTATAACACAATGGTCAGTGCATTTGAGTTAACTAATGGATAAATGAAGGCAGCCAAGGCATGTTTTACACCATACAGTCTAAATATAAGATTCTAGGATCTTGGATTGAGTGGAACGATTTGATCCTAGCAAGAATCTTTGGGCCTGTTTGGGAGAGCTTCAACGCTTGGATTCTTGTAGGATCTGAAGTATGTAGGCTAAAATAAGATGATTTAAACCTAACAAACAAAATGCACAACCAAACACCCCCAAACTACCCCTAATTCCAGCTCCATGAATTATTGGGCCTGTTTGGGAGAGGCACCAGCTCTGAGAATTCACTGTTAAAAGGTGTGCCAGGATGAGAAAATCTCCTATTTGATAATCCAGTGGATCTTAGATCCCGCTATCAAAACTGTTAAAATATCTATGATTTGATGCGGGTCCCAATCATGAAAACCTTTCAATAGTATTCTCGTGTGTGAACAGCAGTTGCAATGTTCAACCAATTGCCATGCCATGGCAGAGGTAAAGAAATCTTACATTGTCAGGAACATTAGGGTTGGCACCAGCTTCCAGTAAGTATTTCAAGCATGCAGTTGAGCCTTTTTTTGTAGCAGCAGCAACTAAAGGGGTTATAAGACCGTCATTGACATCTGCACCAGCCTGCAAAAAAAATATTACTACAAAATCAGTTTCTACAATACCTCTCTATGGGATGTTTGGTTCATTGCCGATTAGACGCTTTCTTGTGGAAATCATTAGTGCAGAGCTGCCATTAAAGGTCAAACCTACTATAGTGTGAAAAAATGTAGCATTGAACTAAAATTGCCTTAAGTAATTCTAAGGCCTAACACAATGAAAATGAGACTGCAAACACGATACCTCGACCAGGAGCTTGACACATTTCACTGAGGAACCCGCTATTGCAACAAGAAGAGGGGTTTCAGCACCAGGTACTATCTTGTTACACTAGTGAGAAACAGATAACACACGAGTTACTATACTGAGGAAAGATGTAGGAAAGAACAGACAAATAGAATAAATAATGCATTTGCTGTAGTAAGGCATTCTGTAAAATAAAAATAAAAAACATTTTGATGGCATTGCAAAAGCAAACATGTATCAACAAGAGATTCTGGAATGATATATTAAGCATTAATGCCTTAGTGGCCATTTTTAGCAATTAGACCGTTTTTTCAGTCCCATGTGTCACGTAAAAGTAGATGTACAAAAATAACAGCAGCCCGTTTTATTCCTAAGGAAGCTGGGTAGGCTAGAGCCTAGAGATGAACCCAACAAGAGCCACCAAAAGGAGTAAAGATATATGAAAGAAAAACATCTATGATCATGAATTACTAGAGGGGATACAAATTCAGGAAGCTGCCATTCCCTTAAAACTGGCATTTAGAGAACACATGATAGCATGTAGAGTTGACCCTATATTGAAGAAGCAAGTAGGATGGAGCTGCAAAGAAGCTATGGCTTATGTACTACTTCCCCCGTTCAAAATAATTACCACGACAAGTATTTTGGAATGGAGGGAGCGCATAGCTAGATTTCTTTGAAATCAAGAAACCATAGCTCTTGCCAATAATGGCCACATCTCTTTGAGAATGCAGCGTTAGTAGAATTTAAACAAAAGTTAACAGAGTGCACTTAGTCACTGCTATGAAGGCATGATCTTGGATAACTGCTATTTTTTTGTATAAGTTAGATCATAATTGCCCTCGGACTTTACAACTCTAGACTTAAAGCGGTAGAGTGGACTCAACACAACCAGCCAAGCAAATGAAACATGGGAACAATGCAGCTAGCCAAAAGGACACTAAAGGTGGAAATAGTATATTGTTAAACCTACATCCGCGTCGTGTTTCAACAAAATTTTCATAGCTTCATCATGCCCATTGTAGGCAGCGATATGCAATGGTGTCCCGCTAGCAGATACTGGGTCAACAGAAACTCCTTTTGCAAGCAAGAGTTCCACCATTTCAGGGTCTCCTGAGTAAAGAAAAACGATGAAAAGAGAATCCAGCAAGTAATTATTGTAGCGTACGTACAACTGATTGTGTTGTGTGATGGGGGGAAAGTAATATGATCAAGATCCACACTAACTAAAACTACATGATGAGGAATAGTTACAACAGACAAGGGGGCAGAATATGGGAAAATGGGCAACTTTCAAATCCAAAAGAAATCACATAAGACAATAACAATGGCACTAATGTGTTATCCTACTCATATACAATTAAAATCATGACATTTGTCAGACGAGTTTTAGCCAGGCAACAATAGAATACCTCCTATGAAAGAGGCCCTAAGACTAAAAAGGTCACTTTATAAAGGTCTGGCTGTTGTCAACTTCATATCAGTTTAGCTATCAGTGTGAAGGTAACCCAGTTTCCTTACATTCGCTCAAGGAAGCAATGTGGCTGTGAAATGTCGAAAGTCAAATAAAAGAAAGAAATAAGTAGATGGTTTGATGTATAAGGTAAATTTGAATAATTATTTTTATCAATTAGCAGTTTATCTTTGTCATGGTAAGCAAGGTCGATGAGAATACTTTGCCCCTCCCAAATAAGATACCACCATCTGTTGCAAGGAAATCAATATGAATACTTTGCCCTTCCCGATATAGATAACACAGTCTGTTGCAAATACCAACTTGTACATACTCTCTTTCCAACACACATAAGAATATATTATAATAGAACAATATTGTAAGGTACTGGAAGAAAAATGCCCATGTGCTGCCAGAGAATTAGTACCTCTTCGAGCAGCACGATGAAGTGGGTTGAACCCTTGGTCATCAACTTTGTGTGGATTGGCCCCATGATCAAGAAGATAACTCATAGTATCCATCCTTCCACCATGCATTGCCCAGAACGGAGGTGTTAGATCTACCAAGCGTGTCAATGAGAATTATACCGGGATCAATAATTCGAATAAATGAATTCCTAGCTATCGGAGCATGTCCGTATCTCCAAATTAGTTGCATACAAATGTCATAATAGTAAACTTGATTTGTTTTCCGATTATTAATCCCTCCGTCCGGGTTTATCAAGCCTCTCTTTAAGTCTTTAGTCTGGGCTAAAGTTTGACCTACAAAGTTAATTACTCCCTCCGATCCAAATTAATTGTCGCAGCTCTAGTACTATCTGCAACAATTAATTAATTTGGATCGTAATAAAATGTTAACTATATGTCACAAAATTTGTAGCATGGAGAACCTATTTCAGATACAAATTGAAAGTCTAGCACAAAATACGAGCCAATAAACCTGGAAGTAGGCGGACAAGACATACTAGTTTAGCTAGGGACAGAGAATAGAGTGCAGAGGCACCTTCGTTATCGACGGCGTCCACATCCACCCCTAGCTCCTCCACCAGGTACCTGCACACGGGTAGCCTCCCATTTCTGGCGGCGATGTGCAGCGCCCCGACGCCTTTGTGCTTGGCCGCTCCCACCACCTCCCTGGGATCCCTTGTGCTCTCGTCCAGCGCCCACACCAGCACTGCGACGCGACGCGACGCGACGAAGGGGGAGAAAAATCAGTACCTCCGTCCCAGACGCCAGCCAACCCACCCGGAAATCCGAAATGCGTACTCTTTAAGAGGCGGAGGTCGCCCTCGCTGGCCGCGCGGAGCAGATCCAGATTGAACTCGTCGTCGGCCGTCGGGTTTGGAGGGGCGGCTCTGCGCTTGGACGGGGCGGCGCTTGGGCGGGGCGGCGCCATGGGGGCCGGCGGCGGCGATGAGCCTGGGGTTTCGAAGTGGGGATTTGGCTTGAAACGCTGAGGAGCGGCAGGCGGAGGCGCAGGCGGGAAGACGAGACGACCGGGGCGGGCAGTGGAGGGAGGCGGCGTGTCAATCTCCGGTGGAAATGCTGCGCGTACGCTTAAGGTCTTTTGGCAGCACACGTTTTCATCCGCTTCTCTTGGAGTGTACCTGGCCATGGGCAGCCCGACCCGACCCGGCTTGAAAAAGCCTGGCCCGACCCAGCCTGACGCTCCTCACGGGCCGGGTTTGGGCCCGTCATATTTGCAAGTTAATGATGAGGCCCGGCCCGAGGCCCGACGGGCTTTTACGCTGATGGGCCGGGCTTGAGCCTGATTTCTAGGCCCGAGACCCGGGCCGGGCTGGGCCCGGGCCTGGGATTTCTGCGGTGGGCTTGGTCAGGCCCGGTCCGAGCGATGGCCAGGTATATCATGGAGATGGCTACGTGGAGGTACTAGAACATTTCTATCCTGTCAAAAGGTCAAACCTTCAAATTTATGATACAGGTTGAAAAAACGCACCGAACAGATCTGTAAAATAGCATATCCGTATTTTTTATTGGATCATGTATATTAGAGATCCCATCCATCATATATGGAGTATTCAAGAACCGGAGTAGGGTCCTGGCGACGCCCCAGGTAGAGGAGCTCTGCAGCGGCCAACCAGAGCGTCGTCAGAGCATCGCCGGAGCAGGCAGCGGACTGGAGCGGCGGGCTTTTACGCTGACGGGCCGGGCTTGGGCCTGATTTCTAGGCCCAATGCCCGGGCCTGGGATTTCTGCGGCGGGCTTCGAAGTCTTTCTGGAGCGGCGCCTTTCTGGCCAGCCGGAGTTCGAGTTCGTCCATGCGTAGGTCATGGGAGAGAAGAAGCATGAGAAAAAGAAAGATAAATGTGTCTAGACATGTTTTAGTGTTAGATACATCCGTTTCTGAACGAATGTAAGACGGTCTTTTCGGGATAGAGGGAGTATATTATTTTTAGATTTTTAGAATTTTCTTTTAGGAATTTGGACTCACAGAAGTTAGGAGGTAAAAAGTTTGGTCAAAATGTGGAGGCCAAGCGTTTGGAGGAACTCAACAAACGTCCAGAGAGGCCACGGCTTCAACTGCGGCTACTAATTTCAGGTTAGTTTTTGTTGCTAACGGTCACGGATCTCATGAACATGTTAAGAATGATTTTGTGGCTCTTAGCAATGCCTTATGCAAAGAGCCGCTGGAGGATCTAGGGTTGGGAAGGATTTTTGGTCTGATGGTGAAATTTTGAAAGATCTGCTTTAGTGGTTGATGTCGGTGTCCCTAGTGGAAGGATGGGGTTATGTCAAATGTCAATGCATCCGACGCAGCGTTCATCTCTCTGAGGTGTGATGCATTACTGGAGTAGCACCCTACCCCGAGTGTCAAAAACACTCGGCAAAGGACACAAAACAATCACTATAGCCTTTGCCGAGAATTGCTCTCAGCAAAGGCATCTAGCGTATGCCGCTCAGGCAAACAGAAATCTGTCGAGAGCCAAACCGTACATCTTGGCAAAATAAAGTGACTTCATGACCGCTGCTTCGGTCAGGTCTTTACCGAGTGTCTCACTCGGCTTAACCGCAACAGACAAGTTCCAGCAACACCCAGCGCATACCACTTTGCGAGTGTAACTCTCGGGAAAGGTATGTCTTCCGAGTGCGGCTCTTGGTAAAGATTCATTGTCAGTATTGTTTCTGCTACTTTTCCATCGGTCGCTGCAGCAAAAATAGATAGGCAATACTCAAACATCATATGAACTCACGTTGTTAACAACAAACTCATAAAGGGCTTATATATATGGTCCACCCAAACTCACATAGGCATTATATAAATAGTTCGCACAAGCTTCATTTGAAGTCACAAAGTAGCTCTTTAGCACAAGTTGCCAAGTGGTCAATGCATGTCTACATGCGACCACATGATAAAAGTAAGATCACAATTAGGACGAATCGAAAGAGAATTATCAAGTTCTTCAATCCACTGAACCCGATAAGTCGTTTCTTGCACTATTGCCTAATTCAGTGTTTCTCTTCTGGTCAAGCACATACTGATTGTAATGATTCTATGCCTCATCCTACTATTGAACAGTCGTGGGAGCTGCCAGGGTAATGAAGCGCTTGTTCATTGCATGCGGACCATGAAACGTAGACTTGTGAACACCTACATCTGTACACTGCATACCACTTCATCAACAAAAAAAAGAGAAAAGGAGGCGGAGAAGTGACGTCTACTAGAACTACGTCGGTATTTCCTTAAAAAGAAGGGGATGATGCAGTATAGCGACAGTAGGTATTTCCCTCAGTGATGAGACGAAGGTTATCAAACCAGTAGGAGAACCTCCTCACACCACGTAAACAACACATGTACACAAATAACAAATACTCGCAACCCGACGTGTTAAAGGGGTTGTCAATCCCTTTCGGGTACGGCGCCTCTAGTGGGCAAATAACGTGAGATAAAAAGTGGTAGATAGGATAAATAGATCGCGGAAAAAATAAATTGCAGCAAGGTATTTTTGTATTTTTGTTTAATAGATCTGAAAATAAACGCAATAGGAAATAGACCGCAAAGGCAAATATGATGAAAAGAGACCTGGGGGCCGTAGGTTTCACTAGTGTCTTCTCTCGAAAAAATAGCAAACGGTGGGAAAACAATTACTGTTGGGCAATTGATAGAACTTTAAATAATCATGACGATATCCAGGCAATGATCATTATATAGGCATCACATCCAAGATTAATAGACCGACTCCTGCCTGCATCTACTACTATTACTCCACACATCGACCGCTATCCAGCATGCATCTAGTGTATTAAGTTCATTAGAAAACGGAGTAATGCAATAAGAACGACGACATAATGTAGACGAGATCCGTTTATCTATTGCGGCAGATATAGATCTCATCTTGTTATCCTTAGTAGCAACGATACATACGTGTCGGTTCCCTTTCTTTCACTGGGATCAAGCACCGTAAGATCGAACCCAGTACAAAGCACCTCTTCCCATTGTAAGATAAATAGATCAAGTTGGCCAAACAAAACCCAAATATCGGAGAAGAAATATGAGGCTATAAGCAATCATGCATATAAGAGATCAAAGAAGACTCAAATAACTTTCATGGATAAAAACATAGATCTGATCATAAACTCAAAGTTCATCGGATCCGAACAAACACACCGCCAAAAGACTTACATCATATGGATCTCCAAGAGACCATTGTATTGATAATCAAGAGAGAGAGGAAGCCATCTAGCTACTAACTACGGACCCGTAGGTCTACAAAGAACTACTCACGCATCAAGGAGAGGCACCAATGGAAGTGGTGAACCTCTCCATGACGGTGTCTAGATTGGATCTTGGTGGTTCTGGACTCTGCGGCGGCTAGATCAATATTTTGTCGCCTCCCCTAGGGTTTCTGGAATATTTGAGTATTTATAGAGCAAAGAGGCGGTTCGGGGGGCACCCGAGGTGGGCACAACCCACCAGGGCGCGTGTGGGCCTCCTGGCCCGCCCTGGTGAGTGTTGCTCACCTCGAGCAGCCCCTTAGGTGCTTCCTTGGCCCATTGGCTTTCTTCTGGCCCAAAAAAATCATCCAAGAGTTGCGTTGCGTTTGGACTCCGTTTGATATTGATTTCCCGCGATGTAAAAAACATGCAGAAAACAACAACTGGCACTGGGCACTATATCAATAGGTTAGTACCAAAAAATGATATAAAATGACTATAAAATGATTGTAAAACATCCAAGAATGATAATATAATAGCATGGAACAATAAAAAATTATAGATACGTTGGAGACGTATCAAGAAGGAATGCAAGGTTAAAATAACACATCATACATAATCCACGTAAGCATTCATCACTCATACACCAAAAAACATCGCAAGTGGCAATCCAAGTCCACATCAGCAACTACATAACTATATAACTAAATCAACGTCAAACCATCTAGGTGGACTACTCCGAGGTGTAGTCTGTGAAACCAGTGATCGTGGAGTCAGAGCACATGGGAGAATCCCCCATATAGTGGAGGACCAAGCATCGTCGGAAATGATGGTCGGTGGACTCAATGGCGGGTCGTCACTCTCCTTACGTGGCGGGGCCTTGCTCTTCTTAGTTGGCAGATTCTTCTTGGCAAGATCCTCAAAATACTTTATTAGGATCAGTTGTGGGTTCTCCTCAATGAGCGTCGTCAAGCGGTCCTCGACACGCTTCTCCTTGACCATAGAGTTGAACCTTATGGAAGTTGTGTCAACGGAGGAAGCCATAGTCGTGAAATCGATCGGTGCTAACACCTTTCATCACACAATGAAAAATAACGTAAGAAACCAAACATCAAAGATTACTTCTAAACAAATTTATCATGGTGGACACTCTCCTAGATATTTTGACTTTAGGTGATGGTCGAGCTGGGCGAGCCCATCGTGCGTTATCAAGGTATAACAGGAAGAGCTCACCCAGATCGATTGTCATCATCAAAAGTCGATTTTCTTACTCCAAGAACAACTCTCATCGACTGTCGGGGATGGTCGCTCTTTCTCTACTCCTCCTGCTATACCAAGATCTCAGAGGAAGAGTGACCCCCTAGGACAACAGTCAGTAGCATCTCTCATGGGTATTTCAAGTTTCGGTGATGGTCGGGCTGGGTGAGCCCATCGTGAGTTACAAAGGTATAACAGGGGAAGAGCTCACCAGATCGGCCGTCATCGTCAAAAGTTGATTTTCTTCCTCCAAGAATAACTCTCATCGACTGTCACTGATGTTCGCTCTTTATTTGCTCCTCATTCTTTGCCACGATCTCAGGGGAGGAGCAAAGGGAAGAGCGACCCCCTACGACAACAGTCGGTAACATCTCTCATCTATCAAATATGGTGGACACTCTCTCTTGTGGTGGTATATATGGTGGACACTCTCTCACATGTATTTTGACTTACGGTGATGGTCAA